GCAGCGAAAATGCCTAATACTACTTTGTCCTCCTATTTTCCCCCCAACGACAACCCTGTGAGGTGAGTTGGGCTGAGAGAAGGAGGTTGGTCCAAAATTACCCAGCCAGCTTTCATGCCTAAGGCATGACTAGAATTCACAGTCTCCTGGTTTCGAGCCTGGGGCCTTAATCACTTGACCCCAATGACTCTTGGTCATGCTGAATTTACACAATTTGCCATTGAGAGTTGTGATGATTTGGTAGTTTTTAAAAATATCTTCTTGTAGTTCTTAAAGGGACCGGATCAAATCATTGATCTCATTGAAGAACTATTAGCTTGAATATCTGTGTTAAATGTCCATTTATAGAAATTCTCTACTAATGAATGGCAGATATTGCAGTATTGGTATCTTTTATGCAGTATCTTTCTAAAAGCACCTGGATAATGAGACAGAAGGCTGAGTGAAATGAATATTGTTGTACTGTATCCATGTGATATCTGAAAAAGACATGTTATAAGCACAAGCTGTGTGTGCTAGACACTCCTTTGCACAGGAACTAGAAGAACGGATAAATTTCACAATACTTTACTAGCATTGGAACCAATGCATTTAAAACTTCAGAATTTTTCTCCATATAGGCAAAAAATTCTCTGTCAACAAATAGAAATACATGTGTGGTTGGGCATTAAATGCATTATGTTGCAATTCCTATCAATCTATTATTTCTTTTTCATACCATAAATCTTGATGAGGCAGAATTAATCATACAATTCCCTGAACAATAGGTAGGAGTGCTTTTGGAGGTCCGTGCTAATTTAAAAACTATACAAGCAAGAAATTTATCATGGAATAGCAAGAGATGTATCCTAGCATTCTAAGAATATAAGAGTGACTTTAAATCTCACAAAATTAAAGAAGTAAAATTATCTAGTTTATTTATTTTTATGTATATCTAGAATTACTGTTTTTAATAGTTTTTGCCTATGTATTCAGAAAACAGAGAAACAGAGTTTTGCATATGCATTCAGGAAACAGAAAAGAATGAAACCAAGTTGTATTACTTTATTTATTCATTTGTACTGTAACATTATTTTATCCTGAAAGGAAATTGAGTAATTGATATGTACCATTGGTCAATTTTCTCAGCTTTTTTTCCAGAGCTGAGGTTCCTATGCTGATCTGGGCTGTGGATTGTTTATAATTTATTCAACAAATCACTATCCAGTGAATTTTTGCAACTCATTAAGCCATAAGGCTTTTTGCAAATCAAAATTGCTGGTTTAACATAGCACACAGTCAAAGCTAAACAAACCACAGTATCATTTATCATATCATGATTTATCAGATTAGGTTCACACATTGCTTGATTGTGTGACTAATCTAGTCTTGAGTTAGCCACATGCTGTAGGAATTCACCCATAGCGGATAACCCAACCACATAAAAATAACTGCAACATACATTTTGTCAAGGTCTTTTTTAGTGAGGGAAAATGTCAGCTTATTCCTTCATGAAAATTGTCTAATGTAAAAAGCTGCAGTAATTAGAAACGTTTCAACACTGTTGAAGGAGTAATACGATGCTTTGTCTTTGAGGAAGATGCTGTAGAAACACATTAACAATGTTAATCTTTGCAGTTCTTTCTTTCCTATGTACATACAACCAAGTGGTCCATGTCTAATGTCTGAAGCTGATTATGAAGAAAGTCTTTCTTTTAAATACACCTATTATCTAAATAGTTTGGATATAATCCAGTCAAAGTTAAGTGCTTTCAAGTTTTTATAGACCTCAGTTGAGAGAGTTAGGTATGTCCTTAAATCATTCCTTAAATCAGTGGAACTTGCGAAGTACTTAAATTTGGCTGGCTAATCAAACAACATAAAAACCTGTTTTAATAGCCTTATAAGAATAGGAATCCTCACATACATTTCTGTGTAAACTTTTGAAACTAGAAGTATAAATGGCATTTTAAAATATCAAGCATGCTTGTATTTCACAATCATGATCTGTCTCCTTTGAAGCTATAGCATTATTTTATTCCTTGAGAATTCCCTTTCTTTAACTTTTGGTCCAGATAACCATTTGTTTTTACTTGATTGTAAGCCAGCTAGAGTCACCTCTAGGCGAGATGGGTAACATAGAAATTTAATAAATAAATGTGTATTGAAATGTCATGGATATTCACACCAGTTGTACTTGCAAAGTTGTGTTTTGTACACTGTTAGTGTAGTCAGCCATGTCAGATGATTGTGATTGCCAACACTCTCTGCCCAGCTTCCCATAAACAAGATCAGTGGGAAAGCCAGCTGGAAATCACTTTTGTTCTCACTGCTTATTTGCCCGCCCATGGTCTATTTGTCTGTTTAGGTAAATTCATTTTCTAGCATATATTTCATTAGGTTTGCATTAACTATATTCTCCTGAAAATAGGATCCAGACATGTTTCAGTTTATGAAATTATTATAACTTGAATATAATACCTAGAGAAGTGCTTGCACAGATTCTGCACTATCTTAATTGAAATGTTTTATAACAAAGCATGTGGGAGGGACCTTGTTGCTCTAATGCAGGGGTGTCCAACCTTGGCAACTTTAAGACTTGTGGCCAGAATTCCTCAGCCAGCAAAGCTGGCTGAGGAATTCTGGGAGTTGAAGTCCACAAGTCTTAAAGTTGTCAAGGTTGGACACCCCTGCTCTAATGTGTCCAGAATAAAGCTTTACCCAACTTAAAGGAATCTTATTTGACCAGTTGTATGAATAAAGAGGATGATACTTTATTTCATCATCTTTTAAATCCATCTAAATTTGTGACTGTGTTAAAGTTGACTGTAAAAAATATGATTTCTGTAATAGAGCTGCCAAAGTCTGGAGTGCCCTACCTGATTCAGTTGTCTCAGCTACAAATTTTCACAATTTCAGTCACAAATTGACTTCCCTGGACCTTACTTCATACTTAAGTGGTCAGTAGAGGGGGTGTGCAATAATGTGCCTATTGTCCCTGTCATTGTATTTTTATTCTCTTGCTCTTGTTCTATTTTTTTTTTTTTTGATAAATTCCAATAAATAAATAAATAAAATAGTGTGGGGAGGGACCATCTACATTATGAAATCCAACCACTTGCTTGGTTCAAGAATCCAACCATCTCTGACAAATGGGCAGTGTAACTTCTGCCCTTGAAAGGCTGGGCACCATTACTTTAGTGAGGATTTGGTTCAGCTGTATAACTGCTTCTAATGGTTGCATATTTTTTCCGATAGTCAATCACAGGTTGTCCTTCTATAATTTAAAACTATTTTTAATCTTGAACTCTGGAACAATAAAGAATAAGTCTTCCTGCCCGATGCGTGTCTTCATGTCCTGTTTGATGTTAGCAAAGCATGCTTAAATTGTTCACTCTCTGTCTTCATAAGCCTTTGTTTTTAATTCTCTGACCTTCTGGTTGCCTTTCTCTGAATTATGTAGTATTGATATCCAGAAGCGGACATAGTACTCAAGATAAAAAGTTTAATAGCTAATTTCAGGGTCCTGAATTAACCATGTTCCCTAAAAACCATGTACATTTTTTTTGTTCTTCTATGACAGTGATGGCGAACCTTTTGCATTCTTTTCTAATCTTAAGTACAATATATTATTGAATAAATTCCCCTTAAAGGATAGTTATTTTCTGCTGTAACAGAATGTTTTGTTCTATAGAACCAATTGCATGACATACTGTGAATGACCATATTAGAAGTTTATAAAAAGCAAGGCAAGTATGATAAGTCTATGAGTTTACATGAAGAAAAAAATAGTAATATTTCCATGGCTTTAAAAAGGGTGGGGAATTATGAGAATCTTGGGAAGGAAGCCAATGACATCACCAAGAGGGTATGCTAAAAGGCTAACATGAAATTTGCTTTTCCCATAGTAATGGCCAATATATTCCTTGGGCTTTTCATCACAACCCCAAGAGATATTTCTTAGTCAATCCCTCACTCATACATTAGTAAATAAGAAAATGTAAGGTTAGTGACTTGCTATGGCAATAATTGTACATGTTTGTGCCTGTGCCATTTTGATATCTGCTCCCCCAGTAAATTACTTTTTTTGCTTTTTTGATCATGTGCATTGGAGGGGTTTTTTTTTTTTTGAAGCTCTTTGCAATCTTTTACTTTCTTTCTGCTTTTAAAACAAAACTTGTCATCCAAGCTACATTTTGCTTCTCTGAAACATATGATCTAGAACAGAAGTCTCCAACCTTGGCCACTTTAAGATGGGTGGACTTCAATTCCCAGAAGTAGCCAAGGTTGAAGACCCCTGATCTAGAAGAGCTCCAACATTTGTGATCTGGTGGGAATTTTGAGGAATGTTGGGGACAGTAGATTTAAAGAATCATGTGTCAGATTTGGCTTCTAAAGTAAGTCACTTTGCATACACCGGTGTGAACCTCTGTATAATATACTTACTGTACAGAATTCTGCTATAAAGCTGCAATTCTGGGCACATGGAAGAACATGGAAATAATGTTTGCTTGCTTCTTTCTTTGTTTATTTATTTCAGAATAGGCAGGCATGTCTCACCAAGTGGCAGTAGCTGACTGAAGTTGCCTGGGCTTGGAAGCTAAAGAGACTCAAACCTGATTAATATCATCAGGATTGTAGGCTAGACTGGGAAGTAACAGAACATGCTGGCAGAAAGCATTTCTGTATTGTTGCTGAGAAAACATACATGGATATTTGCATTTGGTCACTAATGATCAAACAAGTTGGAGTCTTTCTTTGCGTCAGAAATACATAGGATGGCAGTACCATGGTTGGGAAATTTTTATTTAGTTATTTTTTTCTTCTTCTCATATTCAGCTTATATATGGAAAACTGGAATCTTCATAGAGACTAATCTAGTGCTTTCTTCCTTGATCTGTTAAGTTTTCTGTGGATAGGATAATTGTTTCTCCCATCCATGAGAAAGGAATTCAGTAAAATTTTGGAATCCCCCAAAAGATATCACATTAATTCACTGTTGCTTCTCTCTTGATTTGTAGTGAGTCGGATGGTAATCCCAGCACAGAAGATGAATCCAGCAAAGGGCAAGAGGACTTGTCTCCACGTTCCCTTGCGAGCACCTCTGATGGTGGCACCAGCTTAAGCCTTCCTAGCCCAATGGAGCAAGTATATATGCAGCAACTTGGAAACTCCAAAATATCCTTAAGCTCTTCAGGAGTTTTACTGAATGGAAACCTAATGCCTCCCAATCCATCTGTTTTTCTTAATGGTACTTCTTTCATTCAGGGCCCCAATGGTCTCCTTCTCAATGGTCTCGGTGTGGGATCTTCTCAGGCAGTATCATCAAGTCCACTCAAAACATCACCCCATGCTTTGAGCAATGGAGTCTCCATGGGTGATATGTTAGTCCCTTCCTCAGAAGATGTGAAAGACTTCAAACTCCTCCAGACTTCTCTGTCCAATTCCATTGCGCCATCAACACCCACAACAACATACAGCCCCAATTCTGGGCCTGTCTCTTTCCCAGGCTTGACACCAAGCATGGAAGTAAAGAGGGAAGAAAGTGAAGAAGCAATAGCATCGCAAGACAGTGGCTCAGTAGTCACTTTTACCACTCCAATCCAAATCAACCAATATGGCGTTGTCCAAATCCCTAATTCAACAAACAGTGGCCAGTTACTTAATGGAGGCCTCAGTTTTTCTCCGATGCAGCTGCCCTCAGTATCAGCAGCAACTTCCCGAGGTAAAAACCCTTCGCTATATTAAATTACTGCTTTTTGTTATGAAATTAAGAATGTTGGAGATATGTAATGGCTTAGACCCTAAGGTGGCCCCTTTGTGTAGAAAAGGAACTTTTCCATGATCAGAAGTCACAGACCTGGTGGAGACTGGTACTGATGGGAAAACACCCAAATCCAGCAAAACAGATTTTTAGATGGATGATGGAGAATGAAAATTCAAACTTTCCCCATATCTAAAGGCTTCAGTATCTTACGGTCTACACTATTTATTTTTCTTTTGCCTATTTTGGCCATAGGACTAGCTTTGTCTTTGAGTAGTGGGAGCCATATAGATTAACGTTCAGTCCTACTTAGCCGGCTGCTCTTGGGTGTGGCAGAAGATACTGTCCAAGAGAGCAAATTTTTGGTTTAACAGATTTCATGTTTACGCTGGGTGTAGTTTCTATTTGGATGGCTTATCAAAACAAAAAAGCCCATTCTATTCAAAGTAGTTTGAATGATTCCGCTCAATGTTCGTTGTTTGCATTAGCTTATATAACACAAATCATTATTACCCAGGACATTAATTCATGCAAATGATATGAAGCCAAGTTTAACGTAATTCTCTTCCTCCTACAAACCTCCATTAAGTTGAGGTTTTACTGTATATTATTTGTTAAATGTTCACTTCCACCAGTTTTTCTGTTCATATATTTAGCGTGCACTAACATTTTTATTTGTTTTAATAATTGGAAAACTGCATCTTATATATTTGAAATGCGTAAGTACTGACAGATTCAATCTACTACATACTGTATATTCATATTTGGGAAGTGTGAATTTAATAGGGATACATTAAAATGTAAAGCAGATTAATTTACACAGTTATCACAGATAATCCCTACAATTATGCATGGTGGGGCAGTATAATAATACTTCCATTGCATGCCCATATTTGATCACAAAAGAGCTGGACAGGATCAGAGCTCATTAGTACTAGAAAATGAGATTATCTGATGAAAATTAGATTGGGAAATTAAAAAATATATATCCTGGAAGAAAGGACCGTAATCACTGACCACTTAGGTAATGTTGCCAAGAAAGTAACACAAACATACTAGAGACAGACTGTAACTGCTAGGAGTAGTACCAGTGGTAGATTTTACTATAATCCTTGGCAGATGAGATTTTAGCCAGAATGGTCTGGATAGCATACCAGTTTGCTATTACTATACAATTCTATTTGGTAATGTTTGATTATTTTTCAGTGATCTTGCTTTTAGGTGAGTATAAAATAGCAATAGCACTTAGACTTACCGTGCTTTACAGCAGTTTACAGAGTCGGCATATTGCCCCCAACATTGTGGGTCCTCATTTTACCAACCCTGGAAGAATGGAAGACTGAATTAGTCTTAAACTGTGTAGAATTGGAATTCCTGGAGTGAGCAGTGAGTTAGCCTGCAGTACTGCATTCTAACCACTGCACTAACACATATTACTATATCTACTAATCATGACACAGAGATCCCTAGTTCAGGGGTCCCCAACCCCCAGTCTGTAGACTGGCATTGGGCCATGGCATGCCAGCAACCACGCTTTGATGACCCGGGGCATGGCACAAAGGCAACACAGTCACATAAGTAAGAAAAGTCCCTTTAACTCCAACTTTGCCCCCAATGTCCAGTTACCTTCGGCTGGAGAAAAAGCTCTCCCAAGAACAATCTTTAAATTAAGGAAATTCAGTCCAAAAACAAAGTACATATAAACTGTAAAATAAAAATCCACACAAACCACGCTGCAGCAATTAACTGGACAAGGCAGGATAAGGAATTGCAGACTTCAAAGGCCAACAAAACACACACAGTTGGGAAGATACCAGGAACCCAGATAAGCCTCGACCATAAAAGATAACTCACAATTTGCTTCCCACGAGTTGCTGTGTGCAAACTCCCTTTTTAAACACTGTGTTCCCAGGTGCAGCTAATGAAGGGAATCAGGGCCCTTTCCTCCCCATAAAGCCATGCAACTCATGTTGCTCCTTTCTCCGTTCCTCCCTGCATGTCCTAGGATGAAGAGGGGGTGGGCCTGGACCTTCCTCTGAATTCCCTCTGCCTTGCTTTACCTTTCCCCTGCTCTGCCCAGCCAGACTTTGCCCTTCCCCAGTTTCTTCTACAGCCACCAGAGCCACACTCCCACTCCCTGTCAGCTGCTTGGCCTCCCCCTCAGAATCCGACAGGGGCATGACACATGCCCAAACAAGCAAAGCCCCATCCACAGGATGCAGGCAACATGCAAAACCACACCCCCTCCAGTCCATGGAAAAACTTTTCTCCATGGAACCGGTCCCTGGTGCTCAAGGCTGGGGCCACTGCTCTAGTTGACATTAGCTCAATTTTCCTGAGCTTTACTTCTGTGTCATTTAAATATTTGAGAGCCGGTCCAGGAAGTCACCAGGAATCAATGCTGACTCAAAGGCGTGTGCGTGTGTGTGTGTGCGTGCGCGCGCGCACACACACACACACACACACACAAGTCATCCCTGGAGATGACTTTTAAGCTCTAATATTCCCTATGAACAGCTGAAGCACACTTGTGCATATGCAGTGAACATTTGCATTTATTCACTACTTTACATAACCCTGTGTTTGATACCGGTAATCATGGAGAAAGGTAAACTATGTACTATTAATTCCAGTACTATCTCTCATAAATCTCACCAAGCTCTGTTTTCTGAAACTTCATTGAGATTTGCCTATGTTCATATTTATCTTCTCCCTTTATATATCATGGCTGACTCTTTATAAGCTCTCTACCAAATATCCAATATTGGCAGTATTTACTGCGCTATCCCATGTTGGTGAAGTAAGCCGTACACCTCTTGTCATACCTACATTTTTAATATATCACGAGAGCAGTGTTTGAGATGAAGATCCATGACTTTATTCTCTGCGTCAGCTGTGATTTTAAGCTCCAATACTTTTGGCCAAGGTCAAAGCAATAACTGGATGGAAATACATTTTCCCATATGTTGCTAGACCTTGAAAACATGACTAAGCAATTCCCATTTCACCACTGTAATTTGTAAAAAAATATCTTGAAGGTATTCAGAAAAGGCAGTTTAACTCATTATCTGTGTGTTTATAGAACATAGAATTATAGGGCTCAAAGGGAACACAGAGGTCTTTTGGTCTAACGCCCTGCTCGAGGCAGGATTTGGACCTTGGGGCCTTCCAGAGACACTGAATTATTGCCCGCAGCAATTACGGGAATGAGTTAGAATTGAATTACAGTTCCAACCAACTCTCATAATTACTGGGAGTAATAATTCAACAATTAATCCTTAAGGCTGCCATAGTGATCCATAGACTTTGCACAAATAGACAAAAGCCTACAAGAAAAGTATGGTTGACTGTTTTATTATCAATTTGCATTATGAACATTAGAATCAATTAGATCAATGGACTATATGTTCATTGATCAGGAACTACGTGGTTGGTTGCAGAGTTAGCTGGATATTTAGACTAGATGTATCATTTTTGTCCTTCCCAAGGAGCTGGGATAGGCAAGTGTTGTTTAGTAATATTAAATGTATTGTTGCAGGATGTAAGTTCCAAGTAAAGCTTATAATTATTACTACTATTATTTATCCCACTGTGTGTGTGTGTGTGTGTGTGTGTGTGTGTGTGTGTGTGTAGGACAACTCAAGGTGGCAAACAAGGTTGTGCTGAAAGTGAGCACCCTGGCCCAAAGTTATCCAGTCGGCTTTCTTGTCTAAGGGATGCCTAGAACTCAGAGACTTCTGGTTGCTAAGCCAGCACCTTAACCACTACATTGACCTAGATTATATATAGGAAATCCAAAGGTCAGCTTCTACTAATGCTGATAGTTCAGCAGTAGGACCCATGTTTTATATGCAAAACGTCCTTTGGCCTCTTCAGCTAGAAGAATCATGAGGAAATCCTGGGAAGGAGCTTTTTTGCTTGAAAGTTTGAAGAGTTTTTGCTGCTTGGAGTAGATTATATTACCTAGATCAGCATTTCTTAAGCTTGGGATATGTGGACTTCAACTACTAGAATTCCTAGCAAACAATGATAATTGACTATTTAATCTTGCTTCTATTGTAATAATGGAGAATTTGTTATCTGCTATAGACAGGTTGAGCTCCACTAATCCTCGTCTATTCCAGGTAGAGAAATGTAAGCCAGCAGGTGGGAGGAATGTAGGAAAGGCAACTTTTCTATCATTCCTGTTGAATTTGGAAAACAAATCAACTTATTTTAATTCTACAACTTTTTCTATATTTTTTTATGATATGGAACAACTCTACTCCTTGATATCAAAGTTGCTATAATTAAACAACTTTCATGGGATTATATTGTCCTTCACATTAAAGTTGCCAAGTTTGGAGACCTCTGGATTCAGATCTTAGCTTTTTTTTAGTATTCCTTTATTAGAATAGAATTTGCATTCTGGTGTGTTGTCAAGGCTAATTTGACTGCAGCTCACATAATCCCAATGATACTGTGTGTGTGTGTGCGTGCTTGTGTGTATAAATACTGGATACTTTTCATAATTTAAAAGACACATCAAAGGGTAAGAAAACAAATTTCTGAAATTGAATTAAGTATCACAATTTCATTATTCAATTTTATTATTCAATGCTTTTGGCTCAAACCACCATAAATGGAAAACAATGCTTTTCATGTGGTGAGGAAGCTATCTCTTGCTCTTTACATTTTATGCAAGTTTCAAGATAACACATGCTTGTTTATTAAATGTATATGCCAACAAATCCATATGGAGTCACGGTGGCATATAATAAATGAAACTTCAGTAGCAACAATGTCCATAAAATTATGGTCAACCATAATTATTAAAATAGCCGGTGGATGGGTCACACCTCAAAACGAAAAGCCACTTGAGGCTTAGAATGTTTTACGAATAGCAAAATGTTTCCCCCTTTTAAGGAGAGAAGTTTTGTTTCAAAACCACAGGGAAAGATGAAAATTCAACTCTTAATTTAATTTTATACTGTCTCTTTAAAACTTTCTTTTGTTTTTATTTGTTTGTTCCTCCCCCACCACAGGTAGTCTTTCCATTAACCAAGGCACATCAAGCAATGGCACATTTACTACTGACTCTACGACCGCTGCCGCACAACAAGGGAAAGTGTTTTTTAGCTCCCTTGCTCCCAGCACTGTGGTGTACACCATCCCAAACACCAGCCAGGCAGTTGAGCCGGTGAAACAGGAAGGACTGGAAACAAGCCTGGTGTTTTCTCAAGTCATGCCCCTTGGTCAAAATGCCCAACTTCATGCTAATCTACCTTCAGACAACTTACCCAATGGGGTCATGCAGCCAGGAGGAGCCTCTTCCTCCTTAGTTAACGTGACTATATCACATAACTTTTCCCTTGGACCACCTTCTCTTTTAAATGCAGAGGAACTCAACTCGGCCATTTCTGAGAGCCCACCAATGCAACCCCCCACAACAAGTGGGCCGACTGTTGTTTCCATTAGTAATGCAAACTATGCAGCACTTCAGAACTGCTCCCTTATCAGCAGCCATGACCTGGTGTCCATTTCTCCAGTGCAGCCGGCACTAACAGGGATTGGTGGGGTAGCAAGCAATGACATTGGATCCCACTCCTCTTTGCAAGGACATCCTCATTTCACTCGAGAACAGCGGCTGATCCTGCAGTCGATTCCCACTCTAAAGGAAAACTTTTTATCTGATTCAGAAAACAGATCAGGAAGCAGTTCGATGATGCTGGATTCCAAAACCAAATATGTTACTAGCAATATAGTTGATGCAATCTGTGAAGAACTGGGGACAGACAAGAAACAGCTGGCTAAACTCCAGACAGTACAGATGGAAGAAGATATGCAAGACTTGTAAAAAAACAAAAAATCTTACAATTAATAATCTTGTATTTGCATTTCAGTAGAAAAATCTCTTCCTTTGAAGGCTAGAAGCACAGCAGTGGGTTTTTTTCCCCTCTAGGCACAAAGAAAAATAAAAAATGCACAGTTGAAGAAGAAACCAGTTTACTAAAAGGAGGTCTTCACTAAGAATACAGAATTGCCATGCAATGTTTGCATGAATGCTCACTTTTGTTAAGCCTGATCAAAAGGAATTGTACATGGCTGGAAGGGAAATGCCAGTCAAATATGAGATGGTTTGGCTTACCCAAGTAGCTTCTTTGGACAGGGAAAGCATCAAGGTAATTTCAGAATGTTTATTAACCGATAGCTATCGGTTAGGAACAAGATTATCTTTTTAAAAATACTGGAACTAAAAGAGAAAATATATATTGGGTTTTTTTGGTCTAGATTCAATTTTACTTATAGATAGACGGAGGGCGTTGAGAAAGTGGTATTTCAGTTTTCAACTTTAAAGGAGTACTTTAGATAATACCTCACAAGCTACTGTTACCTTCTTTTGCAAGCACAATTGCAAATACTCTCTTTGGGGTGTGTGTGTGTGTGTGTTGTTAAAAGTTTTCCATCAGAATATCAATGTTCTGCACTCTCAATTTTTATAGTTTTGGAAAAGGTGCAAGTTTTCTTTGTCTTGTTTGAATCGGTGGGGGAAGGGAAGAAAACATTTTGCCACCTGAAATTATGCAACCTAGAATCCTTCGCTCTGCCACCTATGTAAATATTATTTTAATTGTGCTAATGATAATTGTTTTTATTAGTAGAATGATTCTATTTATAATCATTGGTGTCCATTTTATCATTTTGAGATATGATGAGCAGTTTAATTTATTTTTTTCTTTCTGTATTTTTGAACAGGAAATTATTTCTGCCTATTTTTAAAAAAAATATTTTCCTGATAAAGCTTCATTAATGGATTTTCTTTCTTTTTTTGGACTAGACTTGTATTTGAACAAATACAGTTATAGGCTTTGGAACAAACACTTCTGTTTTAATTTTAGATAATTTTACAAATTTTGAGGCTGCCTGCTGCTTGTTTGTTTTTTTTAATCCTATGTGCCTTTATTCCTAGTGGCCTTGAATCAGGGGTCCCCAAACTTGGCAACTTTAAGACTTGTGGACTTCAACTTCTTATGGGAGTTGAAGTCCACAAGTCTTAAAGTTGCCAAGTTTGGAGACCTCTGCCTTAAATCTTTGTTCTAACCAGCACAGCTGTCAAGCAGTGAAAAGAATCTGCCTAGAACAGTGGTAAATTCCTCCTTGTTGGAGGTTTTCAAACAGATTAGTTATCCTACAAGGATGGTTTAATTGAATCCTGTACTGAAGGGAGGGTTGGACTAGATCAGGGGGTATCAAACTCATGTTGTCACGGTGGCATCGTGATGTATCGGGACTTTCCTCCCCTTTGCCAAATGGCATGGGTGTGGCCTGTGTGTGGCACATCTGGCCCATAGGCGGGAGTTTGACAGTCCTGGATCCAGAAGGTCCTTCCACCTCATGTGTTCTATGATTCATCAACATAGGAAAAGAGAAGTCTATCTGGCAACAATCAAAACAGTGGTCCTAATTCCTTTACATATGCAAGATCCCCTTGAAAACTCCATTGCTCTGATAAATAAAGGATGAGAGATTTCCATAACAGTAGATGTGAAATAAATACAGGATACCTCTGACAGATGGTATGTTGCTTATAAATATTCAAAATATTTTCCGTTCTTCCTCCGTATTCCATCCCCAACTTGTTGATTTGCAGTGGTTGGCAAAGAGAGCTTATGCTGTCATTCACTCAGCCTTTCTGCATGTTGGAATGTGCATGCAGGTCTACAAAAAGATGACTGCAATATACCAAACTCAAATACCTTGCTTCATCACTTTAAAGGTAGTAAGAACCCTTGAGAATCTTCTCTTTTGGGGAAATGACTAAAAGAATCACAGATGTATGAAATATCAGAAGAAATGCTAAATCCTTCTGTATCGCTAGAAGTTAAATTTCAGATAAAACAATACTGGTAGTATTTTAAAGTATTGGATTTGGATAAACATCAGTGATACAACTGAATGTAGGAATCTCCTCCAACAGAGTGCTTTTTATGATTGTGTTCATGCATGAAAGCATTCTCCTAATCTTATTTCTAACTTGTCTCTTTTTCCAATATACCAAAGACGATAACAGAGGATAGCAAAGAGGATAACAGATAATCAGAGTTGGAAGGGACCTTGTAGGTCACCTAGTCCAAGCCCCCGCCCAAGCGGGAGACCCTACACCATTTCTGACAGATGGCAGTCCAATCTCTTCTTGAAAGTCTCAACTGATGGCGCTCCCACAACTTCCAAGGGCAAGCTGTTCCATTGGTTGATTGTTTTCACTGTCAGAAAATTTCTCCTTGTTTCCATGTTAAATCTCTCCTTGTTCAGTTTCCATCCATTATTGCTTGTCTGGCCTACAGGTGCTTTAGAAAATAGCTTGACCCCCGTCTCTCTGTGGCAGCCCCTCAAATATGGGAAGACTGCTATCTGCCCTGGATGATCTGGTCAAGTTATCTCAAGAACCTCTGCAGAAATAGAACATGTCAGCAGTTGCTGCCTGTGCTGCAATTGTTATTAAATGATTAAAGGGGAGTGGAGAAACACATATTTGGAACATTATTTGTAAACAATTGTATGCTTAGGAAAAACAAGTACTTTCCAAATCCACCATACAGCAAGAACCCAGAGGATAACAAGCTATTTGTTTTAAGTCAAAATTCTTCTTCCCTCTTGTTTGATTTAATAAGGTGAAAAAGATTGCCTCACTAGCTTTTAACTATCTGCCTGGATTGCCAGTTAGTGCTATTCCCATCAATTGAAAAATCTTACCAAAGTCTGATAGAATGTGCATATAGTAGAAGGAAGCTTTTGATGTATGAATGATAACTCACAATTGCAGTTGTCTTCTTGGGGTGTTCAATATAGACATCTTACTTGGATCTCTCATGTTTATTGCTCTTCCTGCACATAGAAAAAAATGGGTTTCATGGCTAGTTTTTTATTTGGCAGAAAAATTGCTTTCCTATCAATATCTAGTTTTCAAACATAAAATGGTGTAATCTACAAGAAGCTGTATCACAGGATTCTGCTGCATCTGTAAGTGCTTTGTTTAAGTTGCTGAAATGTAGAGGTCCATCTTAAATGAATAAAATAGGAAGTTAAATGGTTGCACCCAAGACTGTCCAGAGAAAACCATCTCTGGCTATTTTCATCTGAGAGAATAGCTGCAAAAGCGGCGGGTGTGTGTGTTAGAGTAGTTTTGATTACTCCGATCAGTAGTATTCCTACTATCAGAGAGAGGCTGAGCCAGGTAGTTAATTGATCATCTGTTCTGAGAGGAGTAAGTTGTCCTGTATTCGATCTAAATTAATGCAATTTTGTAATTTCAGTAAACTTGTAAGAACAGTATCAAAGTTGTCCGGTTTGGTAGTGTACTGTAAGTTTATTCTATTTAGAGTTATTTCTCTAGTAATATAGAAAACTTTAGTAGAATTGTGGAAATCATATGCCTGTAATTCAGAAAGATTATCCTTTCCACTTTAGCAGCGCTTCCTATTCAGAAATCAGTACAGCTTCCCAAGATGTAAAAGAATCTGTTTAAAGAAAAATAAAACTTATGAATTGCTGATTCCCATAACCATTTTTGAAATGGGAAAATGCATTAGGTAGCAGGCCCCTTCACTGTGCAAAATGGGGGGGGGGGCAGGAAAATTGCCCACATGATGGATTTTTCATCTCAGAAATCTGTATGCACTTTCCAATTGCCATGAATGCATCCTAGAAACTATGATTTAAAAAAAAAAACCCAAACAGATTTGGAATTCCCAACTTGAAATAATTGTCTTGAAAAAGATTCTGTTTCAAGACTTTCAACACTGGAAGTTTTTAAAGAGAAGTTGGATAACCATTTGTCTGAAGTGGTGTAGGGTTTCCTGCCTAGGCAGGGGGTTAGACTAGAAGACCTCCAAGGTCCCTTCCAACTCTGTTATTCTATTCTAATATTGAGAAGACCACTAAGGTCCTCTCCAAATGTGGCATTCCCACCACAATTCTACCTACCTATGTGGTCGCATGCAGCTGCCAATACTGTTGGGTCGAAGAACTTCTGGTTCAGCAATGGCACTGCAGATATACTTGCCTTAGCCCAGCTCTCTTCCTTTCCCACCTGAGGTTAAAAAGACATCAGGCCACAGCATCGTTTCCCTGTCTTTGTAACATGAGGAGGGAACAACTGTGCAATCACTCTTCATGGTAATTGGTCATTTTAAAAGAAACAACTTATGAACACATGACACATGAACATTTTAAAAGAAACAACTTATGAATACTTGTGATGTTAGGAAACTAGTCAAAGAGTAAGTTTCTGCATTCCCCAGTTACTTAGCTGAAGGGGATACAAGAGCTGTTCAACCAAAAAAATCTTAGGGCTCTATGAAATGGTTTGTGATAGTTTGGAGGTGATCATGATGGCTGTGCAGAAAGGCTCTGTGGTAAATGATAAATGTCTTGGTTTCAACCATGCATGCTACTTTGTTCCAGGCTGAACACTAAATCATTTTGACCGCTTTTTATAGTTACGGCTGGATTTCTGTTTGCAACAATTATGTATCCAAAAATGAGCACTCTGTCATCTAAACCAGTGGTTCCCAACCTTTTCTTCACTGTGGACCTCCTTTAAATACCTTTTGTGGCCACGGATCCCCAATTCCTGATTTAAATTATAACATTTCTTCAAACCTTTTTGGACCCCCTGTGACAATATTACGGCCCCCAGGGGTTTGTGGACTATAGATTGAGAACCACTGATCTAAACAGAAAATCCATTCATTCTTTTTACATATTACATCTATACTATATGAGAAAGTGGAAGGAATTGGGTGACATGACAACAATTGAGCTATTAATCATATTTTGTTCCAAATTTTCTCCAGTATAAG